ATTGATCATTTCTTACTACCTCTAGCATGCCAACATCGCGCCTACCTTAAAGACACAACCGATTTTGTCAATAAAATAAAAAAATCTTCGAGTTCCCTCTAATGCCATTTTAATTTCTATCGACGTTTCTTCTATGTATACCAATATCGATAACACTACTGGTTTAACGGCAGTTCGTAAAGCTTTTAATAGAAACCCAGATCCAAACAGACCCGACGATGCAATTCTACAGCTTTTAGAGATTTGTCTTAGTCGAAACGATTTCACATTTAATGGTAAAACATATTTACTAACTTCAGGGACAGCAATGGGCAAACGATTCGCCCCTTCGTACGCAAACCTTTTCATGGCAGAGTGGGAACGTGAGGTGTTGCCCCTCTGTCCATTTGACCCACTTTTTTACGGACGCTTTTTGGATGACATTTTTATGGTTTGGACTTATTCTATCGAACAGTTTTGGGAATTCTTTGAAATTCTCAACAACCACCATCCTTCTATCAAACTAACCGCAAACGTGAGTGACAAAAGCATAGACTTTCTCGATACCACAGTCTTTAAGGGAGATTCCATAGCAGAAACAAATGAACTGGATATTAAAGCGTATTTCAAAGAAACTGATACTCATCAACTCTTGCACAAGAGCTCCTTTCACCCAAAACATACCTTTTCTGGTATAATTAAGTCACAAGTTTTACGATTTCATCGAATTTGTACAAGATCTTCTGATTTCAACCAAGTCTGTACGATTGTTTTCTCAAAACTGAAAGAGCGTGGGTACTCTAAACGATTTTTATGAAACATAAAAAATTCCACCTTAGCACAGATAGCAGCTAAAAACAGACTTTATGCCGAAGTACCTCCAGGTTTAAGAAGTGCTCCATGTTTGTCCAGTAGATGTAAAACATGTCCCTTTATATTAGAAACTCATTATTTTGTAAGCAACTCTACGAATAAAAGGAACATCTAACATGTGAACATTCGAATGTAATATATTTAATTTCATGCAAGAAATGCCCCAAACAATATGTAGGAGAAACTAAGAATAATTTACGAACTCGCTTTAATGCTCATAGGTCAGACATCAAATTAAAGAAAGACAAGCCTGTTTCTAATCATTTCAACCTCGACGACCATTCAATAGACGATCTCACCCTAATCCCAATTGAGCGTATAGAAATTGACTTGCCCGAAGATGAAACTATTCCATCAATCTAGGGAGGCCCATTGGATTGAGACATTGAATACAGCAAGACCTATAGGACTAAATATTCATCATAATGTAGGCATAGCACCCTTTGTTGTCCCGTTTAATACAACCAGCAATCGAGCAAGCAAGATAGTTCATGCCCACTATAAGAGCCTTCAAGAGAAATTCCCCCATCTCTATAAGCAGAAAATGATAGTTGCATATTCAAAAAATAAGAACTTAAATGATAATATTGTTCATAGTAAACTAAAAACAATCAGTACGAGTTATTTTTTCTAATTTCACATCAGAATAAGAACAGAACAACCCAATATCAAGACCCTTAATCCTAATTTCTAAATAAAGTGTCTGCTCCACCCTAGGCCTGTACATTTGGGAGAATCAAACCCTCCCTTCCCCGAAATATAATTTTTTTTTTCAATATTGATCTCTATACTACATCTACAAGTATATATACCACCAACTTCTTTATTACTATCTCCTTCATGACATTCACTTACTGATGAAAATATTATATATTCTTTATCTTGTTGACTTTTGTGAATATCAATTGAGGTAAATAAATCAGGATAATATTTTCGTACATTGAGTGAAAAACTGGTATTAACAAAACATAGTTTTACATATTCAAAGTCTAATGTTCTCAAAAACGTATAACTCTTTATTGTGTGTGATTTTTTCACCTATTGAAAGAATATCGTTGTCATTGTCTGGTATTATTGACAATCTAAAGGTGTCTGTATATTTTTCATTTGTTTTAATTTCATACATATGATTAGGCTTGTTGTTTTCATCATTAACTTCCAAATCTTTATTTTCAACATATTCGCCACCATTGATAAATTCGAAAATCTTACGAGCGTTAAAATAGTTAGATGGATGAGAGAAGAAGATTGAATCGATTTTATCTTTTACAGGAAAAAGAATTAGAGATTTACCTCGGAAATTAAAGTTTCCTGAATCATCAAATATGTTTTTAATGTTTCCACTTATATATGAAAATACTTTTATTTTTAATATAAATCCATATCCTTCCAACTGATATATTGTTTCACCGGTAGGAATACATTCAGTATTTCTCACACGGAAAACTGGAAGATTGAAATAATATGATTTTTTATTTTCCTTGAGATGTTTTTCTAATGCGCCTATATTTTTTCCTGTTTTAAAACTTCGTTATCAATAGTAGTTATCTGTTGTTGAATCTCACTATCATAAATATTTTGTATCCGTTGATCAAAATTTGTTAGTTCTTTTTGTAATTCAGTTTTAAATTTAGTTTCTAGAGCAGTTGTTTCCTGTTAATTATCTATTAATTGTTTAAGATCTATTTTTTGTTTTGTTATCTTATCATCTAAATTAGATATTAATGATTTTAAATTTTGAAATTGAGTTTTATCTACTACATTTAGAAGTTGTTGTTTAATAGCATCTATTCCACTGTTATCATTGAGTTTGGTTTCTAATTCAGTTAATTTCTTCATTTATACCTTGTTTAATATTATCTTTTAGTTGTTTAAGGTCTATTTTTTGTTTTGTTATCTTATCATCTAATTTAGATATTAATGATTTTAAATTTTCTAATTGAGTTTTATCTACTACATTAAGTAATTGTTGTTTAATACCAACTATTTGTTTTTGTATTATCAATAAGTTTAGTTTCTAATGTTGTTAATTTATCTTCACTTATACCTGGATTAATATTGGCTATAAGTTGTTTAATATCTACTTTTTGTTTTGTAATCTTATCATCTGAATTAGATATTAATGAACTTAAAGGTTGTAATTGAGTTTTATCTACTACATTAAGTAATTGTTCTTCAATAAAACTTTTTAAACTTGTTACTTCTTGTTGTAATTTAGTATCATCAATAAAATCTTTATTATTATTTTGTCGTTTGAAGTATCTTTTCACATCGCCTATTCTTTCTTTTAAATGTTCTTTATTTACTTCAATTAAATTTAATTGATCCCTTTAATATTTCTTGTTAACAGCATCATAATCATTTTTTGGTAACTTTAAATTAGTTATGGTAAAATTATTCATATCTAAATCACCTTAAAGGGTGTCTCGAATTTGTTCCACAAATTTGCTTCATTTATCCATGTTGTTGTGTTAGGTTTTTTAATATCTAAAGGTAAAGAACCTAATCCAAATTAATTCCCCATTTTTATTAAGTTAAATTTATTAGAATTTCTTCAAATTAACTTAATTGATATAAAACCCAAAGTGAAAGTTGACCACAAAACTTTTGTCCTGGTAATTGAATTTGAAATGATGAACATTTGATTGTTTTTTAGTTAATTATCTCTTCAGTTTGTTCTAATCCAAAAGAATCGAAGAAATAAAAGTTATTTAAATAGTCTTTGTATAAAGCAGAGTGATGAACCTTTTTGATCTGAAGTATGTATATTTGTTATCGCATAAAATTTACCTTTCTTATCCTTGAGATTATTTATTTCATCTCGCATACAATAATAAAACGGTGATATAATTTAACTCATTTGCCCATTTCATAAGTTGAAAGTTTGTAGTTGTATCGGTTCCGTATTTATCGAGACAGATATTCATTTTTAAAAGTCAGTTTATTAAAGTTCGTTTTGATAAAACCTACCTATGATTTGTTCTTTGTCTTGATCGATTAATTCATATGTTGGAGGTGATGTGCTATTTACTTTATCAACGATGAATATTTCGTTTGTCCAAAATCTTACGTATTTGCTTTTATATTTGAAAATACGAACGCGATCCCCGACTTTAATTTGGGTTATATATTTAAGTTATTTATTTCATTTTCGTAGTTATGTTGTGCGTTAATATTTATAATATTTGGATTTTTTGTGGCTTGTGTTGGTGTGACACCTATAGATGAATGAATTTTGTTATTGTATTCATCTACAACCTCTGGTAATATTGTAAGCCATTTTTGAGATTTCAATTCCGTGAACTTTTTGAATAATTTGTTTTTAAGAGTTCTATTATATCTCTCAATAACTACTGCTTTATCTTCATTATTAAATTTCAAACCCAAGTGATTTCATATTTTTATTATATAATTCACTTCCTTTATCTACCCATAACTTTTAAGGTCGTCTGTCAGATTGTTTCATTATTGTTTCAAATGCGTGTTCGACTGATAAACCTGTTTTGTTTCTGAGAGGAATAACCCAAGTATATCTTGTGAACAAATCTATAACGGTTAAACAATATTTATATCCTCTTTCAACAGGCATATCAATTAAATCTGCTGACCATATTTCATCTTTAAAGAACACTTTGACTTTTGTTTGTTTTTTCTAAATTCTTTGTGAATTTCATCTGCTATTCCCATACCCATTTTCATCTTTGCTTTCAAGAGTTTAATAATTAATGCTCTTTGAATTCTCTCTTTGAAAGTTGGATTTGGAATATTTTCAAGTTCGATTATCATTTGTTTGTCTGCTTCGTGTCTGGATGTTATGTCTTTATTTCTGTATAGTATGTCGTGTTTAAGTGCAGCGGCGTCAACTCTATTAACGGGTTCTTCACCTGGTTTGGGTTTATCGTTTTCGTCTAATCGCAGATCTAACCTTGTAACTGGACCAGTATAATTATGACCGGGAAGATGCTTTTCTCCGGGGTATTTTGTCCATGGAAATCCGGGAAGAGAGCCTAATGATTTTCGAATGTCAGAACCGAAATAAGTATTAGTAGTTTGAGCAATTATCATTGACATTTTTATCCAATAATTTTAAAACCATTGCCTTTTTTGTTTTCTAATCTTTTATTTCGCATTTCTCTTATGTTGTAATTCTTTTAACTAGTTAGATCTTTTCACTGTTTCGTTTATATTTACTCCTGCTTTTGCTACAGATCCAACAGCTTGCGCTTCTGAGGAAATGAGGAATTTGTTGTTTGAGACAAAGTTTGCTACTTTTGGGATGAGAGATGATAGAGCTAAGAAGAAACCATCTCCTTCGAATTTGTGTTGTTCGTGTTTTAAAATTAAACTCATTCTGTTTTTAAATGTGTTAATTTGAAGATATTATTGTCCTGGGGCGCTTAGGGGTTGGTAAACTTGTACCCCTATAGGCTCCGGGTTTATCAACTGCGTGCCTGGTGGGGTTGTTTGTTTGGTGGGCTTGTGGGCGCCGCAGGTGAAAGAGCAGCATAAGAGCTTATAGATAGGGGGCGGTTTTTATATTTTATAAAAAAAATTTAAAAATATAAAAAGTGCCCCCTATCTATAAGCTCTTATACTACTTTTAGTATTCAGTTTATTTGTTTCTGCTATGGAATCTCCCTTAAAGACAGTGGTATCGAGAAAGTCTATGCTTTTGTCACTCACGTTTGTGGTTAGTTTGTGGAAAGGTGGTTGTTGAAATTTCAAAGAATTCCCAAAACTGTTCGATAGAATAAGTCCAGACCATAACAATGTCATCCTAAAGCGTCCGTAAAAAAGTGGGACAAATGCACAGAGGGGCAATACCTCACGTTTCCACTCTGTCATGAAAAGGTTTGCGTACGAAGAAGCGAATCGTTTGCCCATAGTTGTCCCTGAAGTTTGTAAATATGTTTTACCATTAGAATTGCATCGTCGGGTCTGTTTGGATCTGGGTTTCTTTAAAAGCTTTATGAACTGTCGTTAAAACCGCAGTGTTATCGATATTGGTATACATAGAAGAAACGTCGATAGAAATTAATATAGCATTAGAAGAATTCGAAGATTTTTTATTTTATTGACAAAATCGGTTGTGTCTTTAAGGTAGGCGCGATGTCGATAAGCAAGAGGTAGTAAAAAATGATCAATGTATTCTGACGCTGCATACGACTCACTACCCAGTCAGATATAATCGGACGACCTTTAGTTGGATTCTTATGGATCTTAGGCAAAGTGTACAAATGTCTTTCACGACAATCAGGTTTGGCGACAGTAGTCATATTGTTTCTGTTTGAGGTAAGTAGTTTTGACTAAATCAGCAAGAATACTGTTAAATCATATTGGCAGTTTCTTTAAAAATTGGTTTCGGTAAAATGGCATAATGTTTAGGATTATTCAGTTGATTCTCTGCTTCTGAAACGTAATCCTCCCTATTCAGAATGACATAACATGAACCTTTGTCACTCTTTTTAATATGCTATCGTCTTTCTTAAGTAAGTTTAATTCGTCACGTTCCACTTTGTCACTCTTTTTAATGACAATATGTCCTCTTTCTTAAGTAAGTTTAATTCGTCACGTTCCACTCGGCTTTTCGTGTGTTATGGAAAGGTTCTCTGTTTGGCTATTCATACTTGCAAATGCCTTCAACATTTCAGGATGATGGCGCCTGAGGGGGTTTCCAATTTGATTTAGGAATAAACATTGTTCTAGCACCACGTGTGTGGTGGTTTCGAAAAAAATATGTGCAGCTAGGATTTCGTTGAAATCGTTCAATGGTGTTCGGATATAATTTAAGTTGGCTACTTTCGGTGTCGAAAGTCGAATGCTGAAGGGGTGTGAGAATTACTCGATGCTTGAAGCTGGTGTATCCAAAACAAATAAATATTGTTTGCCGTTTCTGGAGACCAATGCAGATAATCAACTGGTTCGAATTCTTCTTCATACGTGGTAAGATTGTTGCGCTGTTGTGCTTTCTTTATGCCCTTTTCGGGTTATTTATGTGATATTGTTTTAATCAGTGTTTGTTGCTATCCCTTTGGGGTGTTTTTCTATGATATTCTGTTTATTTTTATGCATAGTAATGCAACTGTTTTAGTGTTCATTAAACTCACTTTTATAGTAAATATTTTAACGTATTCAGGTGTTATAAGTTCGTTTTTGGTGCTGGTTCACTTTAATACATTCAATTTCATTTGGTTCATATGACGTGTTCATTGAAATAAAATGAATTGAGTTTTACTTCTTACATCAACAGGTTGTATTTATTATAAACATACCCAGTTTATACTTGACGCTGACGAAACCAGCGCAGGACCCTGTTACATTGTAAAGTTATTATGATACATATATGTAAGAAAATTATTTTTCTAAAACAATTGTTAACTGTTTTTTTTTTTGTCATTTTTCATTTGGTGGTTGTTGGAGCGAGACTATTGGATTGGGAATAATAAAAATAAGCGTTTTGATATATATCATAAAGCATCTGTCAGAGCGGCGCCAGTGGGGGTATTTGCTTGCCCCCTCCCGCTTAGAAAAATTTTGCCTGGAAATATTTTCTGACTGTACAAAATCAATTCCATATTTCGCTCACAGAAGTTCAATAAGAGGCTTTTAACGCCTCTTGCCGTATTAAGTGAGTATGCCCTATATTTTTCAGTCCCATTCTCGGGAGGTTAGCGCCACCACAAACATCTACACATACCATATCATTTATACAAAGGACGGATGTTACTCTTGGAAGGCTAATGGTGGGTTATTGTTCTCTTGTACTCTCTGTTTTGAGTTTGGCACGCTTTTTTAAGGAGTTTCCAGAATAGAATTCGCAGATCCCAAAACACCGCTGTCGCTCTGAAAATGGGATTTTTCACAGTTTTTACTGTGCAAGAAATAAAACTATTCAAATGAATTGCATATATTTAATTACCGACACCAACAGAGACAATAGAACCATAAAGTGCACCACAAGAATTAAATGTAAATAATAATAATAATAAATGACAATCACATATTTTATGATATAGAAGTATTACAATAGAACTTGAAACATACTGTTACTCAGAGTTTCACGATGTACGATCTTCAGAAACTGCCCTTTTTGAGCCTGCGTCCCTACTAAAGGTCTGTTATAATATTTCTATACCGGTCAACAATGGATGTATTGAACACTATTGTAATAGTGAAAATATTTTGTTATCCTAGACAGTTTTATACTGTATCTAAATTGTTTAAACAGTGTTGTTATGAAAGGTTTGTTTTTGTAAATCATCTGCCCCTCCGTATAGTTTATCACACATTGTAGTGGTCATAGAGCAGAGTGGTCAGAAACTTTTACATTGAGAATTTAACAGATAATAGCTTAAAAAGAGGAGAAAAGCGAAGGAAAATGAAATTTAATCATTTGGCATCCATTTCTATCGTAAATACAAGAGGTTTTCAATCATTATTGTATTTCTTATCATCTGTTATTTTTAATTAAAAGTTTGTGAAACAGGCCCTGTCCTGCACTTTAAATTTGATCAAATAAGATAGGACAAGGAAAAAATATAATTTGACAATCTCTTGAATATTTTGCGGAGAATAATAGGATATCATTAACCAAATCTTCTAAAAAATCGCCTGACTCGTATTCTGAACCTGCGTTGACGACGACGGATACCATATCTTCTTACGATTCTCCTGATAACTCTTTTGGACCTTCGTTGTCTACGTCCAATACGACCAAAACGACGGCCTCTCAATGTCCTCAGTATATTCCTAAACATTTTTCTGATATGGTAATGTGGATGGTGACTATGGTGATGTTCTGAAAACAAAATTGACAAATTATTCTTTACAATTATTATAGCAATTGTAATAGTTTTAGTACCTAATATTGAAATAAATATGCCATAATATATGGCTTAATCACACCCTTAAAGATATCTCCTGATAGCTGGGTACCGGGATATTTATTTCAACTCAGATATCGATAATGATATCAAGACAAAACCTTTTTCACAGTCACACTGAAACTTCATTCCCGTGGTAGGACAACAAGTTCCACCATTGAGACAAGGATCACTGTCACATTAAGACTAAAGCATGTCTCTTATAATTTAAGAAAATTGTAAACGTTATTAAAAAGCCATCGTTCTCGAGTACTTTGAAAACTCGTTAGAAAACACAGTCCCTAGAAAATTATTCGTCATTTCCAATTAAAATAATTATTACAAACCCATACCACATGTTTTACCCTTGAAACCTCTAGGACAATCACAGCTAAACTTCCCTCCAGTTGTAGGACAACAAGTACCACCATTATGACAAGGATGACTGTCACAAGGATTTATTGCTAATGGAAGATAAAGCAAAAAATCACATTAAGACCAAATTAACGTAAATCTCGTAAATCTCTTAAAGTTTTAAAAACGATATTAAAAAGCCATCGTTCTCGAATTCTTTGCAAACTCATTAGAAAATTATTAGTGATTTCCAATGAAAATAATTACTACAAACCTATATCACATGTTTTACCCTTGAAACCTCCAAGACAGTCACAGCTAAACGTCCCTCCAGTTATAGGACCACAAGTTCCACCATTATGACAAGGATGACTGTCACAAGGATTCATTGCTAATTCAAGATAAAGCACAAAACTCACATTAAGACCAAGTTAAATCTCTTATAATTTTAGAAAATTGTAAACGTTATTAAAAAGCAATCGTTCACAAATTCTTTGCGAGCTCATTAGAAGACACAGTTTATGGTAGAATTTTAAGAAAATTATTTGATTTCAAATGATAATAATGATTACAAACCTGCAGAACATGTACACCGAAATTCTATTGCAGTTATAGCTTCACAAGTTCCATTGTTGAGACAAGGATCACTGTCACAAGGATTTATTGCTAATGAAAAATAAAGGGCAAAGCTCATATTTAAGACTTAAGGTAAATCTCTTATAGTTTTAGATCATTGTAAACGTTATTAAAGAGGCATTGTATTAGAAAAATACTCATTAGAAAAAACAGTTCATGGTTGCATTTCAACAAAATTATTTGATTTCCAAAGATAATAATAATTACAAACCCGTTTCACATGTTTCACCCTCGAAACCTTCAGAACAGTTACACTGAAACTCTATTGCAGTTATAGGTTCACAAGTTCCATTGTTCAGACAAGGATCACTGTCACAAGGATTTATTGCTAATGAAAAATAAAGGGCAAAGCTCACATTTAAGACTTAAGGTAAATCTCTTATAGTTTTAGACCATTGTAAACGTTATTAAAGAGGCATTGTATTAGAAAACTACTCATTAGAAAAAACAGTTCATGGTTGCATTTCAACAAAATTATGTGATTTCCAAAGATAATAATAATTACAAACCCGTTTCACATGTTTCACCCTTGAAACCTTCAGAACAGTTACACTGAAACTTCATTGCAGTTATAGGTTCACAAGTTCCATTGTTGAGGCAAGGATCACTGTCACAAGGATTTATTGCTAATGAAAAATAAAGGGCAAAGCTCTCATTAAAGACTTAAGGTAAATCTCTTATACTTTTAGATTATTGTAAACGTTATTAAAGAGGCATTGTATTAGAAAAATACTCATTAGAAAAAAACAGTTCATGGTTGCATTTCAACAAAATTATTTGATTTCCAAAGATAATAATAATTACAAACCCGTTTCACATGTTTCACCCTCGAAACCTTCAGAACAGTTACACTGAAACTTTATTGCAGTTATAGGTTCACAAGTTCCATTGTTGAGGCAAGGATCA